TGGGAGTGCCGATGAAGCAAACGTATGTTTGCTATAGCAATCGACAACGTTACTTATATTCGTAAGTGAGAAGGGTTTCGAGACTGATTTACTGGTAGTCTCGAAACCCTTCGTTATTTGATAGTTAACCAATAGCTGACCATTATTAATTTGGTCTCCAGCTACTGTATGGTCACATATTAAATACCTGAAAGTTAATTAGTATTTATTTATTTTTACGTAATGGTTACGTTATGATCTATTTCTAGTCATTACAATCGAGCGCCAAGTTAAGCTATGCATTATCTCATCCTTTTCTTTTTTCGTAGACACTGTTCCCAGCCAGCCGTCCATCAAAGACTTGGCCTTCTCCACCAGCGACCTTCTTGGTTGCAGGGCCAAGACCTACGTATCTTGCAATCATGGTAAGGGGGTAGCGGTAAAAAGACGGCCCTTTCATACCATGTCAAACACACTGTCCAAGTCCGAAGTGTACACAAAGCACCAGGAGGGGTTTCCGCTAGCCAGTCTTCCAGTAGCCAGTGTTGTCACGCAGCCTAGTAACTACGCCGCTTACATGTCGCAGTATGACTTCAATTCCTGTCTGGCGGCGCCGTTGTCCTACATTGGATCTTCTACGGCCATTCAGATGAGCAACTTTTTGCCAAATCCCAAAGAGGGTCAGTCTCGGCCTGGCATGAAAGTGCTTCGAACAAGTCTGATCAAGCGAAAGGTAGCTCCCAGTCGTGGGAGTCAGCATGATCCCAGTTATTTAGTCTCAGAAGTGCTGCTAGATCCATCCAGTCGCGCATCAGCTACGACTCAGTTCAACCGTCCAGTCTCCTCCCAGCAGCAGCCCGGTCGACTTAACAAGTGGCTGGCGACGCATCTGTCATCTCGAGGAGCCCAGTTCTCGGCATTTCCGGGGCACGGTCTCGGGTTGGTTGGCCTCACGAACACCGGAATTCCGGCCGACCGATTGGCCACTTCTGATACGACACTCTTGTACGCTGGCCTATGCGACGATCTCGACTTAGCTTCAACCAACAGCCCAACATCAGCCTGTCTGTACCAACGATTACCCTCCTCGGTTGCCTCAGCAACAGGTCTTCTCAGGCAGCCGACACCGCCATGTCTGCCGAGGCAGACTCCGGTTAGTCAGTGCCCACCAGTCATCTTCACCCCGGCGCCACTCGTCACTCCAACTTGGCCGTCGGTGCCAAGGCCGGAGCTGCAAAAGAGAAGACAGGTCCTTGTCAGTCAGGCTGGTCGTTTGGCTGGCGGTCACAGGACTGGAAAATCAGTGCCTCGGACAGGTCTGGTACTTCGTGTGCGGCCGAACGGTGAGTCAAAAGTCTGAGAAGGCAGCATGACAAAGGAAGATACCAGGTTGGGTACCAAATTGTAAATTGGCGATAGATTGTAGGCCTAAGAACAAGGCTAATGTGACCTCTGTATTATATTGACCGTACAGCGTATTCGCAACTTGTCCATGTTGTCAAAGTGCATTTGGCATAGTTACCAAGATATTTTCTAGCGTAGGACAATGGATTCACAAATGTACCACTTTTCATGGAAATCTAGTGTTTGCAAGTAGTCTACACGATCTATGACATTTATGTTCAGTGGCTAAAATGTATGCTGCTTTACCTACACGACACGGCTCTAATCCGATCAGGTGGGATGATGACACCGAGACACAGTTAAAGGTATAGCCCAGCCTGGATGAGAATGGCCTTTTGGGAAGCTTGACATAGTCAAATATACTTTTCAACATTTCGTGAGTTGATTCATTACCAGTCACCGTAGCACAATACATCTCTTGTGCCTACGACCAATCATCTAACGTCATGCCTCCGTTTTTCCTGAGCTTGACTTCCAGATACTCCAGAATGAAATAAAAAGCTTCGTAGCTATGCCATTGAGAGCCACATTTATCTTCCCTTCTAAAATCTTTCTCACCAAGAATCAACTACACTTTCTACCCCAAATTGGTCTCATCACCATTCTCAACGGAACTCCGAACTTCACTCATAAGTATTCCTTGAAACCTTTCGTTGTTAGACTCACTCGTAGGTAACATAACAGCTCATAAAAGTGATGTATGCCAAAGACAATCCGAATTCGGATGACTAGGAAAAGCCAGTAGAATTTTCCCACAATGATATAAGTAGAGCTGACGCTACCATTGAATTTCACACAGCCTTGCTCTTCCAAAAGTTGCTCACATCCAGAGTGGACTGCAGTTTCGACCTCGCATCGGTCTTATCAAATCCCCAACGGGAGTCAAACCGTGACAGAGCAGAATGAGAGCTTGACACGTTAACCACTCGACCACATTGCCACAAGTGCCCTTGGCTCACAGGGCAAATGTGAATTTCAAGGAAGGCCAGGCCTTTTCCCATATCACATTCTATGGTGGGATTATCGATGAAGTAAACGTATTTTTGCTATAAAAATAGGCAACATTACTTATTTTTCATATATAAGTAGATTTTCGAAACGAACAGTAAATAAATCTCATATAACTCATTTACTGTTAGTCTCTAAACTCTATTTATGTACGAAAAATAAGTAACGTAGTCGATTGTTATAGCAAAAATACGCTTGCTTCATCGACAATCCCACTAAAGAATGTGATATGGGAAAAGGCCTGGCATATCTTGAAATTCACATTTGCCCTGTGGCCCAAGGACACTCGTGGAAATGTGGTCGAGTGGTTAACGTGTCAAGCTCCTATTCTGCACTGTCACGGTTCGAATCCCGCTGGGAGTGTTGATAAGACCGATACGAGGTCGAAACTGCAGTCCAACCTAGATGAGAACTACTTTTGGTTATAGATACGAAGAGAAACTTAGTTTCGATGAATCTCCTGAGATAACATTATTAGGGGGAACTTCATTTCGAATGAAAGTACATGATGAAGA